GATGAATTTGTAGCGTAAAATTATATCCATGCTTAGTTTTCTTTGTTTACTTGTCTTGTTAGCCAATTGAATGAAGTGGTCTGATTTTGGAATACTACGTTTTTGTATTTACAATTCTCTTGGTTTTTCTTTGAAACATGGTGGTTCCAAATTGAGTTTTAGTGGGAAATTATATTTGTTTCCATCTCTGTGAGCTATATCCCTTATTTCTTGATTCTACATAATTTTTTTGGTTTGAGTTTGCCGTCTCATACGAATAGAGAAAATGAATAAACTGCTTTAAAAAAATTTGTCTGCATGATGACTGTTGCATTTGGAACTGCAGTATTCTTTTTGCTTTCTACGATGATATGATGTCCCTTAGAATGGCATTATTGGATACTTTAAAATTTTGAGTTATGTAACCTAAGTGCTGGTCAGGTATAGTTTTAAATTTAATTATTATTTTCTTGTCTGCATAGTTTGTATGTCTCAGTATGAGATCTGATATACCTTTATTGCGTACTAATACAAAGGTTTGTATACATATCGTTAAGATTCATCTGGTGATCTTTTTCAGTTCAATGATTCCTGGCTCTAGAAATCCTATGTGGGGAGAGGAGTTCAATTTTTCTGTGGATGAGCTTCCTGTACAGGAAGTTGTTTTACACCGGCGCTTGTGTGATTAAAAGTGTGAAACGTGCCTCGGCATTCAAATCACATTATGATTGGGTTGCAGCCAATTTTGCTATAAAATTTTAGTTATCAAAACAAAAGAATGCTTTTTCTTATTTTGTCCTCAACAAATCAAAGATTAGTTAATGCCAGATGGAATAGATCCAATTTATATGAACATGTAGTTCTGTGATTTAGGCTATCAAATATGTACAAATATAATTTTGATTGCTGAGAAACTTTACGGGAACCTTTTTCTTTGGATAGCTTCTTTGAGCAAGTAATGTTCCAATCAAATATGTTACTTCCATATGCGTTTCAGTTATATCCTAACCGTAAGGTTTTATGTCATCCCCTAAAACTATGGTATCTAGCTCAGTTTAAGCATAGAACTGGAACAAGTCAAGCATTTCTTAAAATAATATATACCAATCTAATTAAGGATTCTCATCTGAATTTGAAAATGGGAAAGGTTTAATAATTATAAAGCAGATTTATAAATACAGACTTTTTTTTTCCCCCCTCTTATGTTTCTGAAATGTGCATGTTTAAGTATTCTAGCAGTTATGTGATTGTAGTTCTGGTTCTTGAACTGATTCTTTTATGAATTTGTGTGGGCAGATTAATGTGACAATATATGATTGGGATATAATTTGGAAAAGCACAGTTCTTGGTTCAGTGTCAATTCCTGTGGAAAATGAAGGGCAGACAGGTGCTGTATGGTATTCTCTGGACACTACATCAGGGCAGGTACCATATTGTTCAAATTCTGCTCTCTGAAGATTTATTACGCGTCGATTGATAGTGATTTTGTGATCAATACATTTTTTTGTATGCTATTCAGGTCTGTCTTCATATTAAAACACTAAAGTTACATGTGCATAAACAAAATAGTTTGTATATTTCTTATTCAAACATGAAATATACAAGCATATTTTTCTAGATAACATACTGCTATACAATTGTAAAAATAATTTATAATTATTTTCTTATATTATGAAAATATTTTTAGATATTGCTTCTAAAACTTTCCAAAAAAATCAAAATTCATACACTAATTAAAATATAATAAATACAAAATTCGTGCACCGCACGTGATAGCGACTAGTTTAAACATAATAACAGTTACACCGTTTTAATGTTTTATCTCAATCCAGTAACGGCACAAGAGTCGTTTTATAAGCGGTAACGACACTCTTGTGCCGTTCTTATGAACATATTTTTGTCTTTATAACGCTACTTGTGTCGTTCTCCCTATCTTGAGTTATATGAATATTATCGTCGCTTATGTCATACTCGTTATTAAGTTTGTCACTATAATGGCAGTTGTGTCGTTCTTTATATCTTTTCAAGATCAGTAACGACACAAGTGTCGTTCTCAATGACCTTTTCATCCTTTAAACAACACTTGTGCCATTCTCTTAGAACTTTTCATCTTAATAACGACACAAGTATCGTTCTCAATGACCTTTCATCCTCAAGCACTAGATCTCTAAATTATGCAAGAAAACTAGATCATGTGACATAGAATATGGAGTATTGAACTAAGTTAACCCATTTGCTTGTAACGACATTTGTTCCACCCTCATAGATACTTATATAAGTCCAACAACAACACTTGTATTGTTTTAATGAAAGTTTATAATTTATGCAATGTCACTTGTGCCGTTCTCATATACACTTATAAGTCTAGAAATGACACTTATGTCTTTTTTTGAGACATAACACAAGAAATTGGACATACGGAGAGGTTCCGTAGATGAGACGTTCGCACATTTTCTATATTAAATCTTTACTTCCATGATAGTATAGTAATAAACAGTAAGCAACATTTGTGATTTGAAGACCTGGATTCGTTTCGAGAACATGTTGTGCTTTTTCCAAAGGACTTGGTAGAATTTGTGGTAATATGAAATCCTCACACGTGGAATAATTTTAAGATTGACTAGTTATTAGTGAAGTGTCATAATATGATTATATTTGTGCCAGCAATGTAAGATGAATAATGCATTGTACTGGTGAGTTAATAATTTCTCTACCCCATTATTACATTTTAGATCTGATCCGCTTCAATGGTTTGAATATCTCCTACACTGATTGATTTTTATTTAATTACACAGGAAAAGGAGCAGTCAGCATTGCGCGCTCATAGCAGCTCCATCAGAGGCAGTAGGGGTCAATCTAAGGTTTCAGAGAAAAGTCCGCCCAAGACTGAAAAGTTTCAACCATTCATCAAAGAGGAAGTGCTTTCTGGCATTTACAATGTATACATAACCCAACCCTTTTTATCTTTTTGTATCCAAATATAGCCTCATATATATTAAATTGGTTCTTGTTTAACAAAATGATTTTGCAGAATGTCTTTCCATGCACGGCAGAGCAATTCTTCAAATTTTTGCTGGATGATGATTCCAATTTTACAAATGAGTATCGTACAGCTCGAAAGGATACTAATCTCTTCGTAAGTAACAATGTCTAGCTGGAAATGTTGAATCATCAAGTTTTAGAGTTACTGTCTCGATCGTTGTTGTCATCCAATTCTTCTAATAATACTTTGAGGTACATAATGTTGAAATGATGTTTTAAATTGGTTCATACTTTGTCTGAATGATTTGGTTTATGAAACCCATTCAAGCTTCATAATTTGGTCAATAAGAACATCCGGATAGTTTTATATATCACTCTTGTCTATGAAAACATTAGCATGCCGGGGGGGGTGGGCTCAGATTCATCTAGTTAATAATTGCTTGTAACTTACTTTGCATTGCCAATAAAGCTTCGCCGAAGACCAGCATAAAAATTAAATAGGCCTAGAGTTAGGCGCTCCTCAGTTGTGAAGCCTAAAGCGTCATCAGACTAATGGACTGCAATAGATGGCTGGCAGAGGGTCACCTTGATCTACATCCTGTAGGTAAAAGAAAGAAGACAAAATATGATCTGCATCCAACTCATGAAGATTTGATCAAATTGTTATTAAAGAATTTTTTTACCCTTTCTCAATTATATCTACGACTATGCAGAGGTCTAACCAACTTTTATGTCAGCATTTTTCTAATTCACTGGATTTAGCATCTTCAAGAAACCATCTCAAATTTACTGTTATGCTAACTTCAGATGGGTCAGTGGCATGCTGCTGATGAGTATGATGGTCAAGTTAGAGAAATTACTTTTAGATCCTTGTGTAACAGTCCTATGTGCCCTCCGGATACAGCAATGACAGAGTGGCAGCATGCTGTCTTGTCGGCAGATAAGAAAACTTTGGTGAGACCATTTATTTCTTATTATCAATTATTTGGGTAGTTTCTTCTACCGTCACGTTGATAGTTTTCTTTTACATATATGTTTTTTTTTTAGGTATTTGAGATTGTACAACAAGCACATGATGTTCCATTTGGTTCATACTTCGAGGTGCGTAATGCATTTATTCAATCTCTTTTTACATTTTCTTTATTGTATAGATTAAGATCAAGAACATATTAGAATATTATGCATATTGATCATCTCTAACTTCAGGATCGGTTGGTGAATGATTGATGATTTTTTTTATTTTTTTTAAAACTTTTATTCTTTGTATGTATGGTATCCATATTTACTGTGTTAGGTTCATTGTCGATGGTCTTTGAATACAAACTCTGAGGCCTCATGCACTTTGGACATTAAAGTTGGTAAGTTTCTGCTGTTTTTTAATCCTTTGGCGTTGTAGTTTTTCGACTTGTGTAATGCTACATCTACCCAAGGTTTACCAAAAACATATAGAAAATCTGGCAAATACATAGAGGTTGTTTAAGTTAAATGTGAGGTGTGCATCAAAATCCAAACATTTGGCCATTGCAATGTCATTTGGTGGATGCCTTCCGTACATATTTATGGATAATAAAGCATTTGTCTGTCAACTTAGCAAATTTACTGCAGTAATCTATACAATTATCTTTTTGTTTCTTGTCTCTCTCCTTCCCTTTGTTACCCTCAAGACGAAAATCATTTTTGTCTTCATTACTCATCAGTTGTTCCCATCTTCACCAATCAATGGGTGTATTTCTGTTGCTTGGATTTAATTCCATCTAACTTGTCTTGGTTAGACGAGTTCAATGATTTAAATAACTTTCGGATTGAAAGCTCAAGCGGCTTATTACCTTTAATAGTCCCGTCCAAGCTGTTAATTCTCTGTATCTAAAAAATGTTAATGAAGTAATGAGCTTGACAGCGTATGTAAAACAAACCAAATCAACTCCTAGCTGGGATCAAACATATAAGAATAAATTGAAAATTTTAAACAAAAATATTAGAAGTTCACATATATGAGGTATACTTTACAAAGAGCTCCCAATATTAAATCGTTAAATCCATTGGCGGCCAACACATGCCTTCTATATTCCCAAGTTCATTTATTCAACCTTTCCTTCTACTGCGAACTGGATTTATTATAGACCCTTGATTGTATGGACAAATTCAGTTTTAGTTATACTTGACTTAATTGCTGACATATCCTTTTAATCAACGTTTCTAATTGAAACTACGTTCATCATTAGAATAACGTAGAGAATTGAATATCAGTTGGGGGTTCTTTCTATAAGAAGCTTTTTAATGTTTCGGTCCTTGCACCATGCTTTTAGTTAAGTTTGAATCCATGGATGAACTAAGTTCACTTTTGTCTAAAGCCGTTGGATTTTATTAGCTTGAGCTACTTCCATCTTCTGTTCTTTTTCCATAACCAAGTTCAGCGCATCATTTCATTTTGATGCTTTGATCAACTTTATCCAACTAATTACGTTCGTGTCCAATTTCTGTATGTCATATTCTATTCTAATCCTTTAAAGCACTTCTGCTTGATCACTCTGGAGATTTCAAATTTTCACAATCCTCACAGGTGCACATTTCAAGAAGTGGTGTGTGATGCAATCGAAAATAAAAGTTGGTGCAATCAATGAGGTATATTGCTTTTCTTATTTACCCTTTTTGCATGTAATTGTTCAATTGATTAATTTTCTGCAACAAATTCATTATGACTTCCAACCTTGCAGTATAAGAAAGAAGTGGATCTAATGTTAGAAGTTGCTCGTTCATACATTAAGTTGAAGATTTCTGGTGGCGAGACAGATAATATTGCCTCTCCTACTGTTATTCAAGAGAACAGATAACTGATGATACAATAATTTTCACACGAGTTCCCAATACTGATGACTTGAAGATTTGAGTTTTCCATACGTCGTTTATACATATCACGTAGCTTGAGCAACTGAGGTTGATGGCAATTCACTAAGTCCTTTGTATTTCTGTTTTTGTGTGTGTTTCCACCCCATCTCCTTGCTAGAGAGCTAGCAGTGTGCTTCTGTGATTTATATAGAATATATTAGGTTATAATAATACGATTTTTTTTCCCATTCTTGTAGTATTATAGTTCATACAAGTGATTATTCAGAATATATAACTTCATTTATATATTCCAATAAGGGCGTTATGTTATCATATTCGTCTTCCCTGGCCCTGCTACTTAACAAATTTTGCATCAAGGGACTTGTGTATTATTGAATTTTGAAGATTATTATAGTACAAGTCCAACTACTAGTTTGATATGGCAGTTCAATGTCTTTCTTGTTCTGAACTTGTAGCTTATGTTAATTTGTCGAGTGCTTGCAGATAGAAAATGAAAAATATTCAATCTTTACCTTTTTTTATCATTTTATAATTAGCTTGACAATTGGATTGAGGTGGTTGAGTTTAGCTCGACCACCATGACTACTAGCTTGAGTACATATTGACTACGGAGTCGAAGTGGTCAAGTTGAATGCTGCTTCTATTAAAAGATGGTGGAAATGGAAGTTGCCATTTTAAATAAAATTAAATTGGACATTTGACACATGAAGGTCTTTCAAAAATTAAAAAAAAAAAAAAAAATTGAAAAGAATGCCATTCAAAGAGGGTTATTTTGAAAATAATTCCTCGATTTAAGGGATAAAAGGACAAAATGCATGTCCATAAACTACCACCACCTTGCCCAGCAACCTCTATTAAATTTGGCACCGCAAAATCATCACAATTTCGTCCACCACTACTCGGATATGAAAAATGGAGAATTTAACTAACGAAAAACATTCAGATTTGGGGATGAATTTTGATCACCGCTAAATCAATATTTTTGTCGTCGATAAACATAACCACAATTAGAGTATGAAAATGGAAATATCAATCTCTACACAAAATATAGAGAAATTTTGGATTCCTGGGATGACATTGTCACAATACAAATATGAAATTTCAGATTTAGGAGGGGTGTAGGGGATTGATTTCAAATCAAAATGCAAAATTATATTCTTCTTCATCAACCTCTTGTTCAAAATCATGGAGTATCTAAAATTTGACAAATAGGCATTGCCTTTATCGTAGCAAAGTCTAAAGAAAAATCTTTAGTAACATTTAAAAGTCTAAGAATTTCACTTCAAATCTGTGTAGAAGGTGGCAGTGGAGGTAGGTAGAGATGGTGGTAGCAGGTGTTGACCTCGAAAATTGGTCCTTCCACGTGGCCAATCAAAAGCTACTCCACATATTTCTCCCTGCGCACAATCAGCAAATGGTCAGACGCACACGGTCGGGACCAGCGAGGGTGGTGGCGGCCGTATACACTCCGACGATCAAGTCAAGTTTAAGTCGTCGGAACAGTACCCGGGGGTTGTGCAAATCAATGATAAGGGGGAGAAAAAAAAATATAAGCTTGCTATGGAGTGCTATGCAGAAAAGAGTTTCATTACCTTTACCTCTTGCTAAACCTTGGGTATTTATAGGTGGTATGAGCCGTTGGATGTGGGACGCGTGTATACATTTGACGATATGAGGCGTCCGCTCATAGGCGTCAATCAACCGCGTCTGTAGAGTGGGCGGACAGCTTGTTTCTTCTGAGTTGAATTGACATAAAGTTGATAAGTCACATCAATTAGCCTCATGGAGACGTCAAATCAATTTAAACCTTAGGTGCAGGAAGGATCTTGACACAAATCCCTTTCTGAAATTGGCGACGGATCTTCTAACCGGGGTCCACTCGGCCTCAGCCTCGGGGCGAGGTGTTTCGGTCAGGTCAGTAGTAGGGATCGCTTGTACTTCGCAGCGCGCTACTAGGTTGCAGATATTGCTGATATCACTTCGGACGGGTCTTTATCAGGTCGAAATATATGGTGATGTGCGTTCCCAGGCGTATCAGATCGGAGCATAACAGTGGTCCCCCAAGTCCAGGTATGAATATTCATATCATGGGTGGACTTGCTTTCCTGACCAGACCGCAACTCATGGGAGATGGCTAAAACTTTGTAAAGCATGGAAGGTAACGCAGCATCCGAGGCGATGACCCACAGGGGGCTTCACGTCAGGTGCGTCCAAGTTTTGTAAAGTTGACTGAGGAGCTCATCTGCCATCGGTGCGCTGACCCACAAGGCCGACGCGTTGGGAGATGGCTAAAACTTTGTAAAGTATGGGAGGAAAAGCAGCATCTGAGGCGATAACCCATAGGGGGCTTCGCGTCAGGTGCGTCCAAACTTTGTAAAGTTGACTGAGGAGCTCATCTGCCACCGGTGCGCTGACCCACAGGGCCGACGCATTGGGAGATGGCTAAAACTTTGTAAAGCATGAGAACGCAGCATCCGAGGCGATGACCTACAGGGGGCTTCGCGTCAGGTGCGTCCAAGCTTTGTAAAGTTGAGTAAGGAGCTCATCTGCCACCGGTGCGCGGATCCACAGGGCCTACGCGTTGGGAGATGGCTAAAACTTTATAAAGCATGGGAGGGAACGCAGCATCCGAGGCGATAACCCATAGGGGGTTTCGCGTCAGGTGCGTCCAAGTTTTGTAAAGTTGAGTGAGGAGCTCATCTGCCACCGGTGCGCTAACCAATAGGGCCGACGCGTTGGGAGATGGCTAAAACTTTGTAAAGCATGGGAGATAACGCAGCATCCGAGGCGATGACCCACAGGGGGCTCCGCGTCAGGTGCGTCCAAACTTTGTAAAGTTGAGTGAGGAGCTCATCCGAGGTGATCCAAACTTCAAATGATTTGACAACTGTTACGTGTTTCCAAGGTGACAGTTGGGTGCCATGCCCATTCTCCTAAATGACTGCTGCGACTACTTATTATTATTGACGGTTGGTTAACTCTGAGGTTTTCTCAAGCTTTCTACCCTTGCGAAATAAACAATATATTTTACTCTCAAGTCATTGGCGATTTTTGATGTTTTCTAAGCAATTCCGGTGAGAAAATTGAAATTCCGGCGACCTTACACCATTTCCGGCTAGGAAAACCTTCAAACTCGTAAGTTTCAGTACATTTTAGGGCTTTTAAATTTTGAAAGAATGGCCTCGGAGGGGAACTCTGGTTCGGGGAGGGGGTTAGAACTAGTGAGGATGGACGAGCCCATTGTGGCGACCTCCTCAGAAATAGCCGAGGCAATAATAGGGGAAAATATATGGAAGCGACTGGATAGCCCAGTAGATACTTTTGTGCATTGGGGGGGTATCAGACTATCCGTCCAAATTAAGAGAGGCCGACCTTGGGAGACTTAGGACAGAGTATAGGATCCCTGATAGCATAGATTTGATCCTTCTCGGGCCGGAAGAGAGAGCCTGCTACCCTAGGCCTGGCTGTGTGGCCATTAGCGAGGCGATCCTTAGGGTCGGACTTAGGCTGCCAGTTCACCCATTCTTTAGGATGGTGCTTAGATCCTATGGGCTAGCTACGACGCAGCTCAATCCGAACTCCTGGAGCCAAATAGTGGGCTCCTGAATGTTTTGGAAAGAGGCGTCGTTAGGGGTGGAGATGCCCATCTCCGTCTTCCAGACCCTTTATATACCTAAGGTAACTGCCAGGGGGGATAAGACCCGGGGATGGTATTACCTTACTTCATGGGGTTCCCACACTCCATTCGTGCTCGATCTGTCGAACTCCATCAAAGAATGGAAGAGCTCGTGGTGCTGGACCGCAGGGCGATGGGACACAATGGAGGAGGACCCCCTGGTGCCTCTTACGGTCTCGACGAAGTACTCAACACTTAGTGAGTATAGTAGTTGTTTTTCCTTATATTTCTCTTCGGTTCGAATTGTGCCTAACATTTACATTTCCTTTGTAGGTGCTCTTCCTCGGTGCGAGCTGTCATCCAAGGACTTTGAAACCATCTGCATCATTTATTAGCTGCCTCAAAAGAAGAGGTCTTACCATAGGCTGATCCGAAAGAACATCCACTTCATTACTCACGATCTGATGGCGTCCCAAGGTAACTGGACCGAAGTCTTTACTTTTTATTCTGAACTCTCAACACTTGTACTAATTCCTCATTCTCTCTTTGCAGACAACTTTAATAAGAAGTTGCCGGTGCACCCCGACTTTAATTCCATCCAGAAGATGATGGCAGAGGCACGGGCGTTGAAGGCCTCATCTTCCTCCTACAAAAAGCAAATGAAGGATTTGATGAAAGCCAGTAAGAGGCTTCAGCCTCCGATGGAGGAGGAGGTACCGGAGGACCCGGAGGCTGACTTTCGGAAGAAGGGCAAGAAGAGTGTCGCCCCTCCAAAATTCCAAACTGTGGCGAGGCCATCCCCTGCTTTGAGGCAAACCACAATTCCCACCTGAGTGGCCATTCCGGAGAAGAGGCCCACCCCACCTGAGCTTGCCACTACCCCGGCCACAACACCCCTTGCTGTCGTGCCAATTGATCAAGTGCCAGGGCAGCAGAAGAGGAAGAGGCCCCGTCCCTCTAAGGAGGTCGACTTTCTGGGCACAAACCCGGAGGAGCCCGTAAGGAAAGTATTGGAGGCTCTTCCTCCAGAAACAGCTACAGTGGCGGTGGTCTACAGTAAATACTGGACTGAGGAGTGGAGGGACCACACCGCCTCCTGCACAGCTGAGGATTTGGTGGCTGCAAATAGCGCCTGCGTGGCTCGGGCCCTGAGTACAAGCATCCAACTTTGAGGGTTTGGTGAAGGATCTGAACTCCAAGAGGGAGGACCTCGCCAAGTGCCTCGAGGAGGCGATGCACTACGGGGATGCCGTGCGAGCGGCTCAGGCCAAGGCCACGTAGGCGGAGGAGGGGAAGAAGGAAGCTGAGGCCCAGCTAACTGCCACCAAAGCAGAAGTGGAGGGGCTGAAGAAAGAGTTGTACGAGGTGGAGTGCCAAGTGGCTGCTGTGACTCGACGGCTTGATCATGCCAATGAGCACCACAAGCTCGCCACCGAGGCTCTGGAGGCCTCCAACAAAGAGAATGCGAAGCTGAGGCAGAAGGCAGAGGCTCAGTCAGAGGAGATTGCCTCTTTGAAGGAGGAGTTGAAGTCTACAGGGGAGGTGGCAGTTCAGAACTTCATCGACCACTTTGAAGACCATCCCTAGTATGATGACTTCGCCAATTTTTGGGCCTCATGGAGTGCCCAAAGCTTATTGGGTCGACTAAAGGAGGTACACCCCACTTTGGACATCTCCTCATTGGAGGCAGAGTTCGGG